GTTAAAGTGATAATGATTTAACCTTAAATATGAGATAGGTTAAAGTGATAATGATTTAACCTTAAATAATTGTCATCCACTAACGTTATCAATGCAATCATTGACTTTAAATTTTAACAAATCTTGGTTTACAGATTTACTAAGGAAGCAAATTTTTGGATATCATTATTTTTATGCAAATATGTGACAAGTTAAAGTGATAATGATTTAACCTTAAATAATTGTCATCCCAAATATTAAATCGTAGTATGAGCTGTATTACTACAATTAATTTTATCGATGGCTACGTCAAAATTATAAGCTCTAGACTTTGTGTAAAATAATTCCTTTCATTTTCTTTTTTCTTTTCACCCATTTGTCGGTGAAAAAAAAAAGAAGTGCTATAATAAATTATGTTAAAATAAAGCGATTAGTTATATAATATACATATGTGTGTGTGTGTGTGTGTCTGTGTGTGTGAGTGTGTGTGTGTCTGTGTGTGTGAGTGTGTGTGTGTGAGTGTCTATCATTAAGAATATATCATTTCATTTCTATCAGCGACATCTCATTGCCTTTTCAACTTGAATTCTTGTTTTATCATCAATTTTCCAAATAGTTAATTGCATCGGTATTATTGATAAAAACTTTCTAAAATTATTTGATAGCACTAGACTGACTGCTTATGCATAACAAAAAATTAGATTGAAATTATTCCGCACGTGAAAATTAAACCTGATTTCAATGTGTTGCAGTGTTTGCATTTTTTTCTCTAATTTTGTAAATTTTTAATTTGAAATCTCATAAGCTATAGCTAATTTCGAAAGTTTCAAAAGCCTATAGCATTATGGTAAAAAAAAGTTTAAGAAATTTATTGCAATAAAATACTCTGAAAAATTAATTGTAATATCAAAAAATTTGATTGCAATATAAAAAACTTAAACTATTTTTATCCAATTAATTAATTATCCATCAATAAAATGTTGGAAAATTTAAGATTCTATATTTAGTTCAGGCTTATTCTCTTCTATCTGTTCGACATTACAACCACCGCTTATCAAGAATACACCTCATCTTCTCCGTTTGTAATCCGTCATAATGTTACCAGAAAATCGCTGGGATTGCTATAAGCTTAGAAGTGTGCATTTCGATTTTTATACAGTTTTAAGAGTATATAATGAATTTTAGAATTGGAAAATTTGTAATTCAAATTTACAGAACAATAAGTCACAAAGTTTAATCTAAAATTTGAATTATAAATTTTGCTTTCTTTTTCGTCCCAATAAATTTATATTTTTCACATTCTTCTACTTCACCATCAAGCCAATTCAGCTCATTCACTATTTCATCTAGCAATGTTTCTTTTGTGACCTTCGGCCTCTCTATATATGGTTTTTTGAGCTGAAACAAATGACACATGCATATATAGACACAGAGTGATTATTGCTGCTCAAGTAGTCGTGACTCATTACTTCTTGATAGATTGAGATAATAGGGTAATTACTTGATTAATGGCTAAACATACATCGATAATTTGAAATTCAATAAGTAAGAGATTTATTCAGACTTTTAAAATGAGTTCTATTTAATAGTTTTGGTAAATAATCGTCATCAATTTAGATTATACTATGCATCATTCCTAGTATCAATTAATTGCTTCAGTTATTAATTAGATATAGATGACAGTATTGGTAACGAATCAGTGAAAGATTAATCCGGAAAGAGGAAGCATTGTAAGAAATATAATTTTAATTCTTACAAACATTATGTTGCATTTTAATAATTTATGCTTCAAAATAATGATTGAAAGACTTAACCTTAAATTCGAAAGTTATTGTTGGCATTTTTTTTTAAATGATTTAAAAAGCATTGCTAAAATGTTTTTGAAAGATATTTCTATGAGCTTTAGGTGGAATTGTAATTGAAATGCTAATCGGTAAATTTACATATTTTTGATTAATTCTAATATGAGCATAAAGAAGTATATTTTTTTTTGTGCTTATTGCATAAAAGATATTAAATTGATGAAGTTGAGAGATTGTATGTTCAAGGCATGGGTATACAATTTTGAAGGTCTTTTGAATTTTTAGAAAATTTAACGCAAAAAACGCCGCAAATGTGATTTCAAATTGGTATTTTCCTCACAAATTTATTACCACCAAACAATTCTCAAATTCCATCAAGAGGTGATCTATTGGACACATCCAAAAATTTTAAATATTACATTATTCAATGGCTTATTTTGATTTCGTTTATAGGAAACAATTATTTTTGCACGGAAAACAAATTAGAATTGAAGAATTTTCATTAGCTTTTATAATACTTACGAATACATTTTGTAGTGAAATATAAAAAAGGATTTTAAAAACTGAATTATTTTTTTTAAATACATATTCAAGGTGTTATTATGATAATTGAATGTGGTTATGTATCGGTAATTCTATACTAATTTTAATTTTAAAATTTTTGAAGATTAGTCATGACCAAGAATACATTTTGTTGTTTCTGGCTGATTTTAGCTGGAAGTGTTCATTATTACTTAAAAAAAGATTATATCAAAATTCGAATACTTGTAAATTACTCGTGAAAAGAATTAAGTGTAAAATTTCAAATATTTAACAGAAAATAGCAATTATGAATAAATAATAGTAAATAAATATGAATGAATGGATAAAGAAGAAGGTAAATAAAATTGAAAAATATTTCAGTTAATGTTCGATGGAAATAATTTACACATGGCAATTGATGTTGTCAACGATCAACAACTGATGCCAATGCTGTCTAACCATCATTCCATCCAACATTACATGGACACGTTAACTTACACTGCTAGCAACAGTAATATTAACAGAGACAACATTAACATTGTTGTTAAAAATGATAACGGTGATAATGATAATTTGAATGATATACACAGGCATCACAGAATGGCACAATTTATCAGAAGGAAGAAGCGTTTTGGTAATTTTGCACAAATCATTTTGACAATTTCTCATCATTTATCATACTTCATCTGAATATCTCATTCCCGTCCGTAAAAACGATAGCGATTCAGAAAGATTTTTATGGGGAGAAATTTCATTGCTTGCCAAGCAAAAATAGCGCCATTAAAAAACAAACAAAACACCAATTGCCGAATTAACAGTTAAAATTGTAAACATTATTTGTGAAATCTTTAATGTCAACATTAAAAATATGATAGCATGGCGCTAATTAATGAATGTAACACCCCAGATGATTTCGATAATTTTTTTGAAATTTTAACAAAAAATATGACTTATAAGATATGTTTGAAATGATATTCGAATTTGAAATTTGTCTGAATGAGAAAAAATTACTAATTACTGATACATTTTCAAAAAACTAATGAAACACTTCAAATTATTCAATAGCAGTGAACTTTCTTTTGGAATTTAATTTTAGCTACAGCTCAAACATCACGATGGGATAAGATGACATCCGATAATATCCTCAAACTGAAATGGTACATCAGTAAGTATACACGTGATATGCCACGTTCTGAAATCAGGTATTTTATTTATTAACTGAAATTCCATAAAAGTTATGTACTTTGAGAATTTCTGCAGAATTCTTTTGTTTAAAAATAAATTATTGATATGTTTTGATTTTTTTGAGTGAAAGATGCTAACAGATTAAAAAGATATCATAATTCATGAAATTTTTCCAATTTCTTAATTTTTTTTCTTTTTCTAAATTTTTGAAATAAATTATAAATTAAGCTTGAAAAGATTTTGAACGATTTAATTGTCAGTTACATAAATCGTTTTTTTTTACAAAGACAAAACCAGTTTTTCTGATAGATATTCCTCCTAATTTTTTCCCTTAGATTTCTCCCTCAGGTAATAATGACAGGAATAAAAATTTAACTTTTCCCCATCAATATGGGATTAATTTAGGTCAACGAAACATATACACTCTAAATATTCGAAAATTAGAAAATTGGGCCAAATTTGAATTAATTCGAATTAGGAGCAATGTTATGTGTATGACCTCGACGCTATCGTCTCATCGAAACAATACGTGGCCAGCTGAATTTTTCAAAAGGGATGTTAAAAAAATATTTCTACAATTTTTGAAAAATTTTAAAAATTTTGTTCCAATTTGCAAAAATTATTGAAATATATAATGAATATTTTGAAATTAATAAACAGCAATTAATAATATCATAAATTGAGTAATTAAAATGAGAAGAAAAATGAAAAATCATTATCCTGTCGTGTCTCAATAATAAATGCTAGATTGAATCGTACAATTGGAAGTTAAAGTTTTGAAAAGTTTCTCATTCAAACGCATTAAATGAAATTAATCATTTATTCACTAAATTTTGCATTTGCATGCAATGCTTCACATTATTTTCCAAATCACACTAACAAATCAAATTTTTATTTGATTTACTTTACAAAAAAAATACAAAATCTATTATATTATTACCTTACAATCTATCGTAAGGTAAAAATATGCTTGATTTAAATGATATAACGATTAAATCCAATCTTATCAATCATAAACATCAATTCATAAAAGCCTCATTAAATATTCACATACTGATAAGATTCTTCAGATATTCTTTCTATCGTTTATATAATTTACATAAATATATTTTTTAAAAAAAACACGCTTTACATAACGCTTTACAATAGCAATCATTTTACGACGAATACGCTCATTCTTCTCGGAGTGAAAAAAATGATAAATAAAAATAATTTTATGTGTAATCTCTCTCAGTCAATGTATTAAAAATGATTCTTTTCGAAAGTGGAATAAATTTATAAATAGACATTAAAGCAAAGAATGGGAAATGTGAACATTTTTTTTAAACATTTTTTGATCAGTTAAAATTTCAACAATTTGATAATTTGCAAACAACAATGTAGGATGAAAAAAATTACCAAGAAAAGAGCCAAACATAATTCAGAAAATTTCAACAGTTTGACAATTTGCAAATAACTCAGATAAAGGAAATACTTTAATTCATTCCATTTACAGGTTAATAGTGCGGAAATCGTTTACAATGTGGTCCACGCAGACAATCATTAATTCAATGCCATCTGTAAAGCTTCAATTTGAGGAAGCAACATACGAGGATGATGCTGACATTGTAATCCTCTGGGCAGAAGGTGATCATGGTGATGCTTACAAATTTGATGGTACCGGTAATCACACCAATATTTTGGCTCATACATTTTATCCGACATATCAAGAAAATGGTCGTCTGAATGGCGACATTCATCTTGGTTAGTATTTAGATTTCTTTTTTTTTGCATATTTTTGTTTTTATTAAAGTATTTGTCATTCATTCTCTTCGGTAATTTTATCAAGAGTATTTTAAGTATTGTTGTAGAAAATATATAAATCGTTTCAAATTCTTCATTTCCAGTAACAGTTGATTTGTGAAAGTTTCATTTAGAAGTTGATTTGTAAAAGTTTCATTTAGAAGTTGTATGTAAATTATCATAGCTTATTGAAGGAATAATTGCTAAATTTTATTTCTTCATTTGTGAAATAGATAAAAGTGATAGTTATCCATGTGATAGTCTTACTTTCATCACTACTAAATTATTAAACTTCGAAAACTTTTGAATTAATTAAAATTTGCTTACGTAATGTAATTGTTGCGAGCAAATTGTTCAATTATTTAATTTGCTACAATATGAAATGTACACAAGCGCAAACAATAAGCAACAGGATGCTGCTATCTAACAATTGTTCTGTAGAGGATGTTTATACTGATCATTTCAGAGCCAATGCAAACATATCAGATTTATGAGGACAATAGAAAACAATAAATTTTATTTGCATAATTTACTTTATGCTACTGTAGAATCTATTATAAACAGGGAGCATATCGTAAAATATAAATTCAAAATTATTTAGCATTCATATAATCATGAAATTATTTGTTTCAAAAACAACTATCTTACTCGTGCATTTCGAAGTTTTTTTCTTATTTCTTCCTAAATAATCAATTAAAGATTCGAATTTGTCCTTTTTTTTGGTGTTACTAATTATTTTAAGTTCACTTAGGTCACACTCTTTTTATTTAAATATAAGAAGTAATCTTTGTCATACATTTAAATGTCTTCCTCTCAGTGAAAAAATAATTTTGCAATTGATAGTATCTGAATGTCTCGAGAAATATGGAAGAGGATGAAATGAAGATATGATTGCAGATGATGCGGAGAAATGGATCAGTGATAGCAAAGGTGATGGTACCTCATTCCCAAATGTATTCATTCATGAAATTGGCCATTCGTTAGGATTGGGTCATAGCAAACGCGCAGATGCTATTATGTATCCGATTTACAAGAAGGATATGATCGATAATGCATCCTTTGATTTGGACGACAAATGCGCGTTGAATTGGAACTACAGTTAGTAATTGAGTGATAGATGAAAACTGCGCTTCCGTACCGGAACAGAAACATTTTTGGAAGGCAAATTTCAGAGTTATTCTCCGAAATAATTTTCCCGCGCACTTTGTTTTTTGAAATTTTATGGTGTAAAAACCTGCTGTCTAAATTTGGGCAACATAGTTTTAATTTAAATTAGTTGGATTCATGCCTAGAATCAATCCTGATTGATGACATCTGAACTTAACAATTACTATTATATTTATATCAAGTTTATTAAAAATCTTCGAGCTTTGAAGTTATTATTGTAAGAAAGGTAGTTGTTACTGTTGTTGTTTATAATTTACATCATTCCAAATTGCACATTTTAAAAAAAATTCGAAATAAATATTTCAGTTGGTCCTACCAATCTATGCCTATTTGTATGGCTAATGTCTGAAGTACTACCAAGACAAATCGAACATAAAATGAATGATTATGCTTCAGGAGTGGATTTTAATAGTAAGTCAACCAATTAGCATTTTACTCCTTTTTGTTTAATTATTATAACAATAGTAGGGCATGTTTATAATATATAAAATACATCATGATAAGAATATTTTCCAGTTATTCAAAGGATAACCGAAGATGGTGACTCTCAATCTAAAATAAGTACACTTAAGGAGCAATTACAAGGTAAAAATTTATCATATTTTCCTCCATTCTTAATGAATTTTCCCATATAGTTTGTTCTTTGGTTTAAGATAGAAATATCGATTGATTTTGAATTAATTTGCGAAATCAGCATTTATTGTCGTGAAAGTTTTTTGTTAGCTTTATTCTAATAGATTCTTATGAGGTATTCACTAGAGGGATTGCAACTCTTTGTTGAGATGTTGGTCCTCTGATTATGAAATAAGAATTGAGTCCTATTCCAATGTGGCTGGTTGAAGCAGAAGAACGATGTGAAGACACGCGTTGAATTGTATTTTATTGCGAGTGAAACCCACTCAAACTTGGCTAATTAAACCATAGCAATAATAACACGGAATATTAATACATGAAACAAGGAGCGCAAAAAAACCAAACG